TTTGTTTGTATTTTTTGTTGTTTTTTGAGACAGCGTCCTGCTGTGTACTTCACTGCTGGCCTTGAGCTCATTGTGAGCTTACTATCTAGTCCAGGCTGGCCTCAAACCCTCAGGGATCCTCCTTCCTCAGCATCCTGAGTGCTGGGATTACAGATGTGCGCCATTGTGCCTGGCTTGTTTGGTTTTTGAGACAGGTTTTCTCTATGTAATTCACGCTGGCCTTGAACTCACTGTGTAGCCCATGCTGACTCAAACTAGGGGTCATCCTTCTGCCTCAGCCTGCCAAGTGCTACGATTATAGGTGTGACCACCACACCCAGCTAGCAGTGTCATTTTACTCATCTGACTTCCACTCTGATGCCAACCGTGGACCTTGAAGTTGCGCTGATGGAGGGGACCTTTTGTATTTAATCACAGGAAGGCTTACAGAGCGACTCTGTAATGGCTGTGGGCTTGGGGACGCCGACACCTTTCTCTGCTTAGATCACAGGGCTGCTCTGTGCCTGTCAGGAAATAGAGGAGCTAGCTCACCAGGAGCGACTGCACTGCACGCGTGAGGCATTTGCACAGAAACAGTTGTGTGGCACTTGACTCACAAGGACATTGCATCCTTTCTAGATTCGGTGTAGATGACTTCCAGACCTGGTGTCTCCTTGTCCCTCGTGCTGGGGACTAAGCCCAGGGCACTGAGCTGTTCCCAGCCATATGCTTTCACATTACTTAAATTTCCGCAAGAAGCAGTTCCAGAACAGAAATTCTAGGTAAGACCCAGGACAGATGTGGGTCATGAGCAGACCTGAGACCTCAGCAGGCCCTGTCTTAGTGGATTAGACTGGAAAGTGCGGTCTCAGCACTGCTAGAGCTTAGTGGGCATCTCGAGGAGAGGAGGCTGTCTGGTGGTGGGCCTTCCCCAAAGGGCTGGGAACAAGGGCAGTGGAGAGATAGGTGAACGCCGTCAAATGTGAGTAAGACTTCTGAAATGCACACTCATTTATTTAAATTTTCAAAATAGTATTAGCAGTGTTAAAGTAGTGGGCAATTGAATAGAAAAATATGGCTAGTAATTAATACAAATACTATTTTATGTAAATGGGGGTCTAAAGCCACTAAAATAACTACATTCATTTTTTTTAAACTACATTCAAATTTATATTCTGGTTTTCCTTTAGTAAATACTATGTATTCCTCCAAACTGTTGTGTTGTCACTCCTTTTTTTTTTTTTTTTTAAGTGTGAGTCTCATGATAAAATTCGGCTACCCTTGAATTCCCTGTGTCAGACTGGCCTCAAACTTGAAGCCCACCTGCCTCAGCCTCCCAAGTGCTGAGAGTACAAAGGTGGACCGCTGTGTCTGGCTCTGTTACTGTTCTTAGTGATAAGGTTCGCATCATCTTGCAGCTATAAACAGTTAACATTAGCCATTGTTCTAAAGGGAGAGGTATAGAGAAAAGTAAGCCTGCTCCTTGGCTGCAGCCTCCAGAGCTGTGAGCCTGGGGGTGGTGTGAGCAAGCCCTGCAGGGGGAAGATGGGGAAGAGCACAGAGCCCGCTGTTCCTGGGCCTTGCTCTAGAGCTGGCTTCTACGGAGGGCACATGTACTGTCTGGTGTTACCCTGGCTCCTTTCTCTGTACCCAGAAGAGCATTGTATGTAGGCACTAGCCTGCACTGTGTGTGCCTGGGGTTTCCAGTGAGGCTGACTAGGGCAGTGAGGAGGAGGCCACACGGCCCGCTTCCTCAAGGGCATCTGTGTGTAGCTGTCCCGGCTCCTGGGGCCATGAGCCTGCTACCCAGGGTGGTCCTGAGCTATGTGAGTTCATCCCCAAAACCCTTTCTAGGTATTGTATTTATATTTTTAAAAATTTTATCCCGTATACAGACTACTATAGTAAGAAAAAGACATCTGTTGTCAGACATTTAAACTTCTAAAAATTATATCCTCTAATCTCTGTTAAAAATTTTAATTGCCTGTGCATGGATTAGAGAAAGTCTTACATGAATCTTACTTCATTAGTAGTAAAAATAGGAATGCCCTTTTCTTAAAATGCATGCACATGCATACACTCGAGTCCGTTTCTTGACCTGTGGACACTCACAGGTAGTCAAGGGAGCTGTGATGAAGAAGGCAGTGCTGGTCATTGCACTGCTCACTAGTGAGGGAAGCAGGTCTGGTTCTGTACTTAGTGCTTGTGAGTAACCCTTAAAGTGTTGGTGTCACTGAAATTTTGTGAGGTCCCTGACTTAACGGTGCTTTTCATTTTTAAGTGAGTGAGATCAGTGAGTCGAAGGTGTTCTTTGAATGGATGGGAAGGGGGTCGGGGGGTGGGGAAGCGGGGAGAAGTAAAAAGGATCAACTCCCCCATGATGAATGTGCTTACTGTGTATAATGCAGAAATGTACAGTACTATGTAAAAATTGAGGAAAAAGCAAATATAAAAAGGGTGGCTAGGGCAGCCCATTTGGGGCCCTTTCAGTCTCAGGAGCTATTCCTATTCTTTTCCTCAGGAAATTGTCCTACTCTTTAAAAAAAAAAAAAAAAAGAATGGCTAGGTTTTTAGTAAACTCATTTCTCTGACCTTAGGCAGTTCAGCTGGTTGATTGTCGGTAGACATTTTTCCATAATACATGTAAAGACTATCCGGACCAGGAATACAGCATAGCAGTGCAGCACCTGCCTGGCAAGCAGAAGGTCCTGAGTTCAATTCCTGGTACCAAAAAAAATATTTGCCAGGGATATAGCTCAGTGGTATAAGCGCCTGCCTGGCAAAAAGAAAATATTTGAGCAGTCACCTGTAGAGCACTACTAGGGCAGCTGTTAGCACATGCAGGGCTCCTGGCCCTGTCACGAGAGCTGTGGTGATGGGTGGTTCAGGAAGCTCTTGCTGTTCACGTGGGCCCCTGGGTCTGTTGCTTTAGCTCATGCTAAGAAAGCCACCCCAGCTTTCCAGTGTTTCTTTGGAAGCAGACACCACTTGCTTGTTAAATAAATAGAACTTCTAAATTCTGTACCTCACAAGAGCTTAAGCTGCCACCTTTCCCCAGATTGGCTCTGTATAGTTGGGGTGGGTTTTGTTACAGCCGAGACTGACTGCATCACTAGAGTGAATGACCCTGCTCTACACATAAACTGGACCTCGCCTAAGGTACACAGGAGGCAGAAAGCATCAGCATAGCTTTCCATTTAAAACATTTTGTATGCTGTGGGTATTATGTTCTCTCATACAGCAACATCCATAAATGTCACTCCTCACACTCTGTAGGCTACAGAATAATAGATGCAGTGGAATGCTTCAGTAGCCCTAGCTGCTCAGACAGCTGAGGCAGTAGGATCACTTGAGCTGACAAACTCAAGAACGGCCTGGGCAACACAATTAAACTCTGTCTCCAAAGAAAAGAATCAGCCAGTGGCACATGCCTATAATTCCAGCAGTCGGCTGGCTGAGGCAGGGGGATCGCTGTGAATTCAAGGCCAGTGTGGGCTACATAGTGTATGAAAGGCCAGCTTGAACTACACCGTGAGACCCTGTCTCAAAGAAAAAGAGCCAGTCTTCCTGTAAGAGGAAACTGTCCCCACCATGTGGCATTGCCCTTATCTAAGGTCTTCTCCCCTAGTGACGATTTCCCCATGATTCAAAGACCGGCTGAAGGGCCTTTGGAAAACACCATGGCGCTCAGAACTCCTGCTGGAAGTGTTACCACATATGTGCCTTCCAGATAGGAGCAGCAGCTGTTCTGTGCAGGGGGCCCCACCTCAGGCTGCAGCTGTGCTTGCAGGCTGTCCTTGGCCTCCTGTGGACACTCCCAGCCTTCTGTCTCGCCAGGCCTGGCATGGTGGCCAAGGCCCTTAGCTGGGAGAGATTTCGTTGTCGCTGATGGGTGCACATCAGGAATAGGTAATGTGGCTGGTACAGTAATTTGGGGGCTTCTGTATAAAATAGCAAAGTTTGGGAACTTTTAACAACTCAGATTTTTGAGGCTTCCAGGTAATTTTCCTCAGATATGTTTTCAATTTCCAGAAAACAACTACTGTTAATTAGTTATGTTAACCCTGTGACAGTTTATATGGAAAATTGAGGTCCTTGCATAAACCATATTTGCGTGTGGAAGCTAATTCTGTTCTTAAGTGATTAAAATGTTGGTAATTCCGTCTTCACCTTGTGGTGCTTTGATCATATTTATGTTATGACTGATTTATCAGCTGAGATCTTATAAAAGATGCCGCTCTGGTCTGTCACATCCTCTGGGGAAAAGAAGTCTCATTTAATAGGGTGGTTTTCTTTGCTTCTGATTTGGGGAGCGCTGTCTGCCTGACTTGTGGGTGTGCAGTACTCACTATGGCCAGACTCGGCCCATACCTAGAAGTGTTGTTTCTGAGCTCCTGGGGTCCCAGAGCCCCCTTTCCTTCGGTGGACTGGGAGAACCACCAGACACCACGCATGTCCTTTGAGGCTTGCTGTGTGGACATTCTGGAATCTTCATGGTCACTGCCGTGGCTCCCAGGTCCAGTTTTGCCAGGCCACCTCAGTGCTGCCCCCTAAGGTAGTGCCCCTGAGTTTTTGCATGGCAGCATGGCACCTGTGAAGGTGAGTCTCGTGTTCTTGCTTTATGGGGAGACCAGGTCCAGCCATGAGCATTGCTTCTCCCCCCCCCCCCCCGGTACTGGGAATCGAACTCATGACCTTGCGCTTGCCAGGCAGGCACTGTGCCACTGAGCTAAATACCCAGCCCTGAGCATCACTTCTTAGAGACGTTTTCTCTCTCCAGTCATCCAGCCTTCCCAGCAGTGTGTCAGCCCCAGACATCATCACACCATGCACACCAGGCTGTCTTACTACCCTGGCCCCCAGCCAGTGTTGTGTAAGTTGCAACAGATGCTGAGGAAAGGGTCTGTGATTTATAATGCAACCATAGCGACCATAGCACCAGGCCCCTTGGTCCCAAAAATCCGATGGCTTCTCGTGGTACCCAGCACTCACTCAGCGCTTTCTGTGTGGTGTCTTTGCAGATCCCGGATTCTCTGTGGTGGCGGCGAGAGTACTAGGACCTGAGGATGAGCGAGCTTGACCAGTTACGGCAGGAAGCCGAGCAGCTCAAGAACCAGATCAGAGTGCGTAGCTGTGGGCTCTGCGGCCTTGGGCTTATAGGGCAGAAATTGCCCACTGCATGGAGGGCAGATGGTGGGGCAGTGCTCAGGGTTTACATTGAAAAGGAGCCTGCCTTCCTTTTTTCTTTTCTTCTCTTTCCTTTTCTTCTTTTCTGTCTCTCTAGATTGAAGCCCCTGAGATACAGCCTCAGCCCTTTTTAACTTTTATTTTGAAATAGGGTCTCCTGAGTGTTGCCCTGGCTGGGCTCAGACCTATGCCTCCTGCCTCAGCCTCCTAGAGTGCTGGAATTACAGATGTAGGCCACCACACCAGGCTGCCAGTGAAGCTTAATTGGCTCAGTGTGTATTAATTACCGATCAGATACTTGACCTAGTAGGCGTTGTTTTCAGGATTTTTGTCTTACATACTATAATTTGTTATTTGAAGGATTATGAAATATTTCTGTAAGAATTGGTAGTGATTTTCCTGCACCTTTTTTCTTCACTTTGGGAGTTAGCTTTGTGAACCCTCCTGATCACTGTTGGAGGTGACACCTGCCCTCCCCAGGGGGCATGGCTACTAAGAGGAGGGCAGAAAGGGTGCTTTAAACAGGGAGGGGGGAGGTGGTGCATTAATTCAAACAATAAGGGGCTGGGAATTTAGCTCAGCGGCAAAAGCGCCTGCCTGGCAAGCGCAAGGTCGTGAGTTCAGTTCCTGGTACCAGAGAAAAACAAAAAAAACAAAACAAAACAAAAAAATTCAAACAATAAAAAGATGGTATTTTAGGTGTGCTTGATTTATTTTTTGTTAATTTTGAAAGGTAATTTTCCCTTGGGATGATTATTGGAACCTACAACTTTCAAAAGACTGCTAGATAAATCAGAAAGTTCTGGCTAAGTATGAACCAAGCAAAGATTAGCTTTCACGGAATTCTAAAAACATTAAAAATTTTCCCTTCCTTCCTTCGCTGTCTTTTTCTCTCCCTCCCTTCTTTCCTTCTGGCAGTGCTTGAGACTAACCCCAGAGCCTTATGCGGGCTTGGCAAATACTGTAGCACAGAGGAGCACCCCCAGCCCTGAACACTGAATTCTAATACGACTGATAGATAATGTTAAGTTGCAGAATCCATGAGCTTTTTAAAAAAGAGGAGGTCTGAGAAGAATTAATTCTCTCTACTTTTGTGTACATTTTACAGAGAAATAGTGCAAGTGTGTGTCTCTGTTCTCAGACTTAATATGAAGAGCAAGGGAAAGGGAGGTAGGCTTTTCAGGGAAAATCCAGTACTCAGTGTAGTTAGGGGTTTGGTTTGCTTCAAAGAGCTTTCTCCTTGATTCCCTTACCATCTGAAAGACTATCGCTACCCTTCAGAGTTGCACTTTCCAGGAAGTTAGTAGCATGCAGTACACATCTGAACAACAGTTTCTTTTTCTGAGTGCATTGTAAAGACTAATTCTCTCCTTTTAAGCAGCCAGTCATATGTTCAGGCATGCTTTTTGGGAGTTGGAGAAAGATGCACCGAACAGTCATTTTAACAAAAAGAATTCTATTGTAAGAATTTTACACCTGGATATTGGAAAGACCTGCTGTAGCTCAGTGCTCACAAAGGAGATCTAGATCTTTAATATTTTGCCCTTGACCTGTAATCCTAGCACTTGGGAGACTGAGACAGGAGAATCACTGTGAATTTGAGGCCAGTCTAGGCTACCTTGTCTTTGACTTCGTCTCAAATTACCAAAAAAGTAAATAAGTAAAGTTTACCCTGGTCACGATAGTTCAGCATGTCCTCTCCCCCAGAATTAATAAAATATGTTCTAAAATATTTACTTTGATATGACATTCCTGAAATACCTATTTAGGTAGAAACAGAAGACACCCCCCTCAAGCCCCCCCTGCACTCACTTTTGAGGTACCAAGGATTAAACCCAGGGCCTTGTGTGTGCTAGGCCTGTGCTCTGGTCCTGAACCATATCTCAGTCCACTTTTATTTTATTCTCAGACAGGGTCTCGACGTATGGCCCAGGCTGGACACAAACTTGGAATCCTCTCACCCTGGCCTCCTCAGTAACAGATTCCAGGCTGGTGCCACCACACATGCCTCCCTTCCCCTAAAGTTTGCATGACTTCAAAATGTGAGCTTTGGTCTGGTGAGGTGATACACACCTGTAATGTAGTCCCAGCACTCAGGAGACTGAGGTAGCAGGATTGACACAGGTTTGAGGCCACTTTGGGCTCTATAGATATGTATATACCACCACACAGCTTGTTTCCTGACAGCATTGTTTTTGGTAAATGAGAAAGTGAAGAAGCGAGAGATCTATTCCTTCTTGGTACCAAAAATCAGATAGCTAAGAATATAGGAATCAGGATTTTCAGGGGGCACAGAGTTGTGTTGAACATTTCCTTAAAATGACAATGTTTAAGTTTGCCTTGAAGATGCTGTTCTAAATGGTAGTGTCATTTGGCCTGTTTTAAGGCACTTTGTTTTCCTGATGCTTACAAGTTGCTGCTTATAACCAACTGAGACACATTCATCGAGCTAAAGGAAGTCCATGTGGCAGAAGGGAGAGAGCTCGGTTTCTACAGAGCACAGCCCACTAGGCATGGGGTCCCTCCCCGTGCCCAACATCTGTTGGAAGCCTGTGCAGGGACCTCCTCCAGGACCTGCAGGAGGCCATGTGACACGCTTTTCACACCCTTACCGAATTAAAAGCAGCAGAATAGTCATTCTGAACATTTTGCATAATCCAAGGTATGTATTTTTAGACAGGGTCTCCCTGTACAGTTCAGACTGAACTTGAACTCACTGTATAGCCCAGGCTGGCCTTGAACAGCAATCCTCCCTCGGTCTCCCAAGTGCTGGGATTACAGGTGTATGCTGCCACCCCCAGAAGTTGATATGCTTTTATTGAAATACGTGGCAAGATTTAATTTGTGTAGTGACTTCAGAGCTCAGTTTGTCTTTCACACTTAGGCCACACCTTGGTCTGCACTCAGTAAACATCAGGGATGCACAGTGATGCGTCACCTGAGAGTGCCAGAGCCTAGTGTAGGTGCCCTTGGAGGTGGGCTCTTCACCCTGCACAGCTCTGTCTCACCTCTGGTTTTGGTTTGGTTTGGTTTGGTTTGGTTTGGTTTGGTTTGGTTTTTCTCCGGTACCGGGAACCGAACTCACGACCTTCCACTTGCCAGGCAGGCGCTTTTGCCGCTGAGCTAAATCCCCAGCCCCCTGTCTCACCTCTGAAGCAGGGCTGAAGCTGTGCCACTTCCCCTGCCTGGAGTCTGTGGGCACGGTGAAGAGCGAGCATGGTTAATATCCCAAATGGGAAGGGAAAACGCCTTTAAAAAATTAAAACAAGTGGGTGTGGTGGTACATAGCTGTAATCCCAGCCCTCAGGAAGCTGAGGCAGGAGGATTGCCAGTTTGGGGAATTTAAGCCCTGTGTCAAAAAAGTAGGGGTGTGGGGACTGGGGATGTAGCTCAGTGAGTACAAAAGCTGTGAGTTCAGTCCCCAGTTTGGAGAAACAAGGAAGTGGGATTGGGGAGGAAGGAAGGAATGAAGGAAGAATGAAAGATTTCTGATTGCCCAAGGCATACATGCTGGTTAAAGGATGTAGAACGTGTATCAGGAAGAAGTGGCCAATGATTCCCAGTTATTTCCTTTATTTGTCTTCTTTTTCCCAGTTATTTTCTTTCTTAGATTTGCTTTTCAGCTGAAATACCCCAAAGGACCGCTTTCTTTTTCTTTTTTTTTGAGACAGAGTCTCGCTGTGTAGCCTAGGCTGGCCTCGAACTTGCAGCAATTCTCCTGTCTCAGCCTCCCGAGTGCTGGAATTACAGGTGTGCACCACCACGCCTGGCAGACCTTTAAATTCTTGTTTGATTGTGTTGTTGAGGAAACAAGGGCTCCCAAAGGCAGGCTTGTTAGGATACAGCTTCCTCTGTGGCAGCCAGCTGTGCTCCACGTGTTCAGAGCGCTGTCCAGGGACTGCGGACTGTGCCAGTTTGGTCTGTTGTTGGGGTGTCAGCCTGTGCATGTTGCCATGGGGCTTCAGATAAGACCAGTTGGTGGTGATGGGTTAGACTCCTCGCCATGCAGCTAGTGGCATTGGAGAGGAGTCTTCACAGTGGCCAGTGTTCTGCCTCCACAGTGGCAGCTCTTTGCAAGGGAGGCCACCTCTTCCCACCCTGTGGGGAAGAAGTGTCTGCTCTGAGAAGTGCCCTGCGCATGTTATGCACCTGTCCCGTCCCGTCCCATCCCATCCCGTCCCGTCCCGTCCCGTCCTGTGCCATCCCAATGAGGGTGGCATGAATTTGGCCAGCTTGGGTGTCCCTCGTGTTCCATAGGCTTCGCTGCAGCTTCTTCTCCTGAGTACATCCAGCACTAGGCAGGGTGAAACTGCTTAAAGCCTAGGTTTTGTTTTCTTCGTTTAAGAAAATCCTTATTTTTTAAACCCATACCCAAAGCCATCCTTATTTTTTAAACCCATGACATCAATAAGCATGAAACGCTTAATATTCATAAATACCAACAATGCTTGACAGGAAAAACTCACTGACAAAGACTTGCTACTGTGGATCTCCCACATCCACTTTACACCCAACGGCGTTTTTTTTTGTCTTGTTTTGTCTTGTGGTCCTGGGGATCAAATCACGCTGGGCAGGTGCTCAACCACTGAGTTGCACACCCAGCCATGCTCTCCAAATTTTATTACTGATGAGAAATACTTGATTACATGATTCTTATGTTTTAATTACGAGCAGAATCAGTAATAGTTTTTTGAAGAGAGAGGACTCTAGAGGCTTGGTATATTTATACAGTAATGGAAGCTCATATGTTTCCCTATGGTCAGTTTATAACGTTTCCCTCCGGCTTCCTGGAAGAAGAGTCCTATCTGTATTAAAGCAGCTTGTCCCTAACCCTGATGGGGACCACCCACCTGGGCCAGGGGATACAAGGGAAACAGGTGGTCAGACAACAGCAAAGGGAAGCATTCTACTCAGAATTGTCATGAGTCCTTTGAATTATGCCTTAACCCAGATGTTGAGCCTTTTAAGCTATTACCTCATTTTCCTTCAATGCAAATTTTTTGATTATAAAAATGCATGCTAATTTAAGATTTTGGGACTTTTCTAGTTACTTTGATGGCTTGTTAATAATGAAAATATATGAGTTAGCATATTACATCCTTGACAGTTCTCACCTGCTTCCCTATGTTGTATAGATGATGGTCTGTACAGATAGTGATCTATACTGACGAACCATCACAGTTTGATGATCAGATGGCAAAAGCCAGAAAGTCTCAGGAATTCTAGGTGCCTTGTCTCTACAGAACTGAGATTTAATGATTGAAAACAAAATCCTTAGTACTCTAAAGGAACAGTTATTTGGCTGGACAGCAGGTCTTAAAGCTGGCTTGCTTTGGGCCCTGTCCCCTTGGGAAGACACAGCCAGCATAGCCATCTGTGGGAGGGTGGCATCGAGTGCCAGGCCCCTGGTGGCTGTCCTCGTGCTGCCTGTAGTTCTGGGTCCTGGGCCCTTGCTGGTCCAATGAAGGCGTGCAGTCTAGACATACTTGGCTACTACAAGCTGTGTGCAGTGTGGCCTGGACAGTGTCCAGCAGCCATTGACTGGGATGATAGGGAAGCATCCTTGCTCTGCTTTTCCTCTTTTTTTTTTTTGTTATTTTGGAGACAGGGTCTCGCTATGCAGTTCAGGCTGGCCTTGAGCTCACTTCATAGCCCAGCCTGGCCTCGAACTCAAAACAATCCTCCTCCCTCAGCCTCCCAAATGCTGGGATTACAGGCGTGCGCCACCACGCCGGGCTGCTTTTCCTCTTGCCTGGGGCTCTGAAACTTCTGTGAGGGCCTGGGACTGGAGGTCTGGGTCGTGACTAATTGTCCCTCTTATTATTTCCTAGGATGCTCGGAAAGCATGTGCGGATGCAACTCTCTCACAGGTAAGAGGCCAGTGCCCTGTGAAGCCACCAACCAGGCTCTGCACAGAGCTGTGCCCAGCCTGTCCCATGTGATAGACCGGGGGATTCATTCTGGTGATGGGCAGGAGTAATGGGCTTTTTTTACTTAGATGAACACAGTGTCTCCAGCTTTGAGTTACCTCTCATCACAGAGTTAATAGCTGTAAAATCCTGTTGTTAAACTGTGGTATTCTCTCCTTGACAGAATCTGCATTAGAGCTTCAGTTTTTAGCGTCCAGTTTGGCAGCTCCTCAAAAAGTTGACCGTAAAATTACTATACAACCCAGAAACTTCCCGCAAGACACGCCCAGAAGTATTGAACACTGGTTTTCAACCAAACACATGGATAGTACACATTCCAAGACCGACAGTAGGGCTCATGCCTTCCCTACATGCACGGACCCATGGCCACGCTAGGGCTGGGGCAGTGTGACCTGCAGTGTAGGTGGACACACACATGCACTGTGGTCTCAGTGTCAGCACTTGCCCTTCTCCTGCAAGGCATGGGATGAGACCAGGATAACGAGCTGAATGATGCAGGCAGTGTGATCAAGGCCAATAGGCAAACTTTTCCGTTTCATAGATTTGGAGTTGGGTTATTGAAACCCTGGAAAACAAAACTGCTGGTTTACTGGGGACTATTGTGTACCACGTTCACTCCAGCACTGTTCATGGCAGCTGAGAGGTGGAGCCTGTGTGGGCTGTGGTGTGTGTGTGCAGTGCAGTGTCACTCAGCTGTGAAAAGGAGCACAGCAGTGACCTGGCACAGGTGAGCTCACAGGCCAGACATGAAGGGTTGTGCATTCTATAGTTCCACCTAGAGAGAATACCCACAACAGAAAGATCCGCAGAGACAGGGAGTGGATGCGTGGCGCTGCAGGGAAGGTGGGAAAGGAGTGGGCGAAGCTCTCCACGGACGGAGGTCTTCTGGGGCGGGAGTGGGCATGATGGAAACTGGACTGCGTGACGGTTGCACAGCGCTATTTGTGCGCCGGCTGCTGCTGATTCGGCACTTCAGCATGGTGGCCTTGCCAGGTGTGATGGCACACACCTGTGATCCCAGCACTCGGGAGGCTGAGGCAGGAGGATTGTTGCAAGTTTGAGGCCAGCCTGGGCTACAAAGTGAGCTCAAGGACAGCCTGAACTGTATAGCGAGACCCTGTCTCAAAAAGACAAAAAAAAAACATGGTTGCCTTATGTTATGGGAACTTGCTGAGGCCCAGCAAGAGGAGGGAGTAGGGAGAGGAGCAGGGCCCGTGCAGGCTGGCACTATACTATATCCATGTGAGAGAGGGAGATGCCTGAGACATGGTGAGGATCACAGACAACTGGGTGCCCACGCCAGACCCGCCAGTCCAGGAGAGCAGGAGAGCTGCAGGTCGAGTTGCTTCTTCACAAGTATTAATCCACCGGAACTCTTTCTTTTTAAGATCACAAACAACATCGACCCAGTGGGAAGAATCCAGATGCGCACCAGGAGGACTTTAAGGGGGCACCTGGCCAAGATCTATGCCATGCACTGGGGCACAGACTCCAGGTATGTGCCACATGGCGGGACAGTGCCCCATAGAAGTGAGTTGCTGCATCTCCTAGGGCAGGATGCCAGAGAGCCAGAACAGTGCCCATCACAGGAGCATGCTGCCTGCCCTTGGTTCTGCTTACCTGGCTGGCTGAGTGTACTCACTCTACCATGAAGTGCTGCTGTTCATGCCAGCCCTGGCTTTGTTCCCTCAGCTCTGCTGCACGCTGCTCATATGACCTCAGGGATATTATCTCTGTGCCCTCAGCCTGCTCTGTGGTCCCCAGGACCCTAGAGCCTGCCCAGGGCGCTGGAGGATGGAGCAGGCTGAGCATCTGGCAGCAGTGTGAGGACCTGACTTGGTCTCTTTCTTGCCCAGAGGGATATGGGGTGCTCTACAGTTGCAAGTGACTGTCCCCACCTCCCTGCCTGTGTCATAAGGAGAGCCCTCCCTCAGGGCTTCTGGTCCCCACTTTCTGTTCTGCCCCTTGCTCAGACTTTGTCTTTACCTGGGCCTGTGATCTCTGCCCCTGCCATTGGCACCCTTCTCACCTATCAATGCCTGGCTTGGGCTGGGCCCTCAGCCTACCACCTACTCTCGAGTGGCCCGTTACTTTCAGAGGCTGTTAGGTCTGTCCCCTCTGCCTATTACACCCAAATAATTCAATAAAATTTTGCTTGACTTGTGTAACTATACTATGCTTTTTTACCCTAATAGGCGTCCTGATAGTCCTTTTTTGAGTAGTATTTTTTTCACATACAATTGCCAGAATGGAATTTTCTGCTTGGCTTCTTCATTGTTCATGGAATTGTCTGCTTTTAGAGTGTAAACAGCTGGAGAACAAAAGCTTCTATCTTTAGTTTGTTCTGTACAGGCCCCCATTCAATTGGCGTGCAGATGAGTGCTGGCGTGACTTGTGAGTGCTATGGTGGTAGGGATGGTGGGGGCTGGGAGCGGTGCTCGGGCACGCTTTCTAGTGGACCAAGGCATGGGTCTCATATCTCCATGTGGACACCTACTCTCCAAAATTCTGAAATGTAAATTTGATATAAATATTTTTTCACAGGATTTAGATCAGGGCCTCATACTTGTAGATAAGCACTCTACTGCTGAGCCACATCGCAGCCTGGAGTGTGTTCTGAACGCTCCCACTGCAGAGAATGGTAAATAAGCCGCAGAGCTGGTGGCTGCATTAGTCCCCTGGTTAGGTCATTCCGCGATGTAAACATGAACCTCACAAATATATACCATTGTCCACTAAAATGCATGTAATCTGGGCAGGGTGGTACAGTCCCAGAATCCCAGCACTCAGGAGGCTGAGGTAGTAGGATCACCAGTTCAAGGTCAGCCTGAGCTATGTGGCAAGTTCAAGGCCTGCCTAGCCAACCTAATGAGGTGCTGTCTCAAAAAAATAAACAATAAACTGAAATAAATAAAAATTTAAAGTAAATTAAAAGTGTTTCCATGGTGGTGCACACTTATAAACTCCCCTGCTTGGGAAAACTGAGGCAAGAGGATCAAAAACCTGGGCAAGTTAGCAAGATTGGCTCAAAAGTCAAAGGAAGTTGAGGCTGTGGCTTAATGGTAGGGCACTTATCTAACATACTCTTGGTCCTGGGTACCCCTAAAAATTTGAGTAGTAAATATATATGTTTTGTACCAGGCGTGGTGGCGCATGCCTGCAATCTCAGCCCTGGGGAGGCTGACCCAGGAGAATCATTGTGAGTTTGAGACCAGCCTGGTTACAAAGTGAACTCAAGGCCAGCCTGAACTGCATTGTGAGACCTTGTCTCAAAAAAACAATCAATCAATGAATCAATAAATGTGCTGTGACTCAAATAAGTGAAATTAGGAAAAAAAGAAAGAAAAAATAGACAAGGAAAAGCACTGTTGTTACTAACTTGTCCATCTTGGGATTGCTGTCAGCAGGACGTGGGAGCAGGATGCAACTTCCACGTGTGGGGACATTGTGTGCTGCCTGTGCAGTGCAGGGTGCGCGGTCTGGGACCTGCACTTGGGTCCCAGCAGTGTGCTCTCCGCAGACCCCAGCTCTGCATGAGCATCTGGGCATCAGGAGAGACAAGTGTGGCCCCGGGGGCTCAGAGCAGCGTGTGGCCTGAGCAGTGGGACGAGGCCTGTGTCCATCTGGGCTCAGACATGGGCTGTGCCTCGAGCAAAGCAAGGCGGTGGATCAGTAGGACCAAAGTCCGGGTCAGTGGAGCCTCTGAGCAGGGGCAGCACTAGGGAGGCCCCAGGAGCCTGATGAGGTCATGTTGGTGTCCTCCCTGCACAGGGTACTAGGTACTGTTCATGGCTTCTTTTTCCCCCAGTACTGGGAACCAAACTGGGGACCTTGTACTTGCCAGGAAGGTACTTAGGCTTTTTAGCGCACTTATTGGCATGCGCTACCATTCCCAATTGTATTATTACTCTGTCAACCGGACAAGTGTGTTCCATAATGTATGATCACAAAGAAAAACCACAATGTGGTGCTGAACAAGACCTCGCTGTGCAGAGCCTTCAGGAATTACCTGTTTTCAGCGTAGACCAAGGGCTGCCTCTAGAGTCCAGAGTCACTGGTTGGGGTTTTATCTTTCTGCTGTGTGATTTCCCTGTGTCCTCATTTTCATATCTGTTGCCTTTGTAGACAGAGGTTATCACAAAAGAAGACTCTGTCCTAGGGAGTGGCATGTAGCCAGGTGCAGAGTGTATTCCTAGCATGTCTGGACCTTGGGTTTGACCCCAGCCCCACAGGAGTCAGCGGCTCTTTTTCCTGACTCAAAGTAATTCTGAGGGAGTTACTTTGTTGTGTGCGGCTCTCCCTCCGCCATGGTGGTGAGAGGCGTATTTGTGCATGTGTGTTGAGTGTGCATATCGATGGGTCTGTTAGTGAGATTTGAAGTGCACATCTGGCCACGTAGGTTAATGTTGGTTTTCTCTTGTTCCCAGTCTACCAAAGTCTCTCCCAAGAAGTGAGAGCCCTCTCTGGGCATGGTGTACTCTGGTGGGGCAGCAGAGTGCTCGTATCACAGGCAGGGAAAGACTTTGGGCATGCTGCCTTGACCCAGCCGTCACTGGCCTGGGATTAGAGGTGCATTTTCTCTCACCTTCGGGGATCAGCACTCGGCTTAGTGCCACCTGGCCCTGAGAGTCAGCAGTTATTAATCCTCTGCCCGGGTACTGCTGAAGGTGACTCCCTGGCCCACAGATGAGCTCCGAGCCACAGGGGCCACCTTCAGGGAGGGATTTGCAGTTCTGGTGTGGGCAGCTGAGCCTGGACGCAGAGGAGTGCCATTGAGAATGGTGTTTCAGGCCCAGGCCATCTTGCCTTCTTCCTAATTCCATCACTCTGGGGTCTCCTGCCAGAAGACAACGAGCCTGGTGACTTAACAAAACCCTGTCTCAGAGTAATGAAGTAATGAACTAAGGGTCCAGGAGTGGCAGAGTGTGCAGGCCTTGGGCTCAGTCCCCAGCCCCACTGGAAGTTTGTCATTGGAGAGCCGGGGCCAGCTCAGGACTGGAAAGGAGCTTTGTAGGTAGAAGGCCCTATGCTCAACCCCAGCACCAAGACAAACACAATTGCATCTGAAAAGTAACCGGTTGGGAGGGTTAAAAGCATCAAAACTGGTCAAAATTGTGTTTCACTCAAGCTTTCCATGAGCTTCAAGGAGCAAAGTGTGCTTCCAGCTGAAATGGTCAAACCTGTGTCCTCTGGTTGAGATTTTGAAGATGGAAACATATATGTCACTGCTTATGTAGTGTGCCGACAGCATCTTGCCCATTCCTCAGCCCTGAACTCCATGCTGTGGCCCCCACAGGGTGTCTCATCTGCTTGCTCAGCCTGCTTTCCTGGGGATTCGGTTCCTCTACCTCTGCGAGTCCTGCCCCATTCTACAGCGCAGATGGACCAGCCTGTCCACGCACAGACAGTGACCGTAGCATAGCTTCATAGACCAATAACCAGTCCTGACAGTTCATAGAGGCATAGCTGTCAGTTGTCTATCTGCCACAGGCTGCCTGCTGCCACCTCCTGCTTCTGGAGACCCATGTTCTGGTTTTAGCTCAGCCTGGGAAGTTCCACTAGGCTTTTTGGTTGGCAGATGTTTCATGGGTTTGGAATGTCCAAAAGCTTTTTATTTCTTATATCCAGGCTTCTCTGTGTTGAAATGGGACAGGAAATGGCAGACTCAGGAGAGAGCTGTGTGTCCTGCTCTGGGTTTGCAGTGAAAAGACTGGGCAGCCCTGGCAGCTGTACCCCTGGCAGACAGAGCTCTGAGCACCAGTTGCACTCCAGGTTGATAGTGACCTGTATCCGTGTCTCATTCTGGGCTTGCACAGTTGGTCTAACTTTCAGGTTCTTCCTGTGAGTAGGTGTGCTTTGTCTCGAGCAGTTGTCACATTTACACCGTGGGAGTCACCAACACTGCACTTCCTCTGCCTTCCATGGTAAGGTTCCTGTGCCATGAGACTGATGACTGCTCTGTCTGTCCTTCAGGCTCCTCGTCAGCGCCTCACAGGATGGGAAACTCATCATCTGGGACAGCTACACCACAAACAAGGTGAGCTGCACAGACCATTCCTAAAGGGAAGTTCCCTGGGGTGTGCAAGATTGCTCAGCTTGTCTCTCCCTTCCTTGGGTGTCCAGGAGAGCTGGCTCGCACTCTGCTTGTTTTGGGAAGTCTTGGCTTTTACGTAGAGAATGCAGAAATACAGCTTTTCATTTAGTTACTACGAGAGGTTTTTTTACAAGAGATAATCTGAGAGGCATTATACTTTATAAATTAAATTATTTTTAAAGTTTAGCCTTGCCAGGGCTGGGGATTTAACTCAGCAGCACAGCGCCTGCCTGGTAAGCGTGAGGTCGTGAGTTCAATTCCTGGTACCGGAAAACAAAACAAAACAAAAATTTATCCTTGCCAGGCATGGTGGCACATACCTATAATCTCAGCATTTGGGAAGCCAAGGTAGGTTGATCATTAAGAATTCAAGTCCAGCCTGGCCTACATAAGACCTTGTCTCAAAAAAATCAATCAGTAAATAAAACATATATACATACATTTAAAAAAAGCAATTTAGCTAGGTGTGATGGGACATGCCTGTAAACCCAGCACTTTTGAGGCTGACGCACGAGGATTGCTGTGAGTTTGAGGCCAGCCTTGGCTACATAGTGAGTTTGAGGCCCACCTGAACTACACAATGAGACTCTGTCTCAAAAAAATAAAAAATAAAAATTAGCCTGGGACCAGGAATGTGACTCAGAGGTAGAATGCTTGCCAAGCATGCACAAAGCTATGGACTTTGATCCCCAGTACCTCAAGTAAAACAAATTGAGCTGAGCACAGAGGCTCATGTGTGCCTCTAATCCTGGCTACTCATGAAGCCGAAGCACGAGAATCTCTGGAGCCCTGGAGTTCAAGCCACGGGGTAGGGCCAGAGGGTTTGCCTAGCTTATGCAAAGTCCTGGGTTCAGTCCCCAGCACTGCCAAACAAATTTAATCCAGGCTTGTCTTGTTTGAAAAGTTGTGTCATCAATGCAAACAGGTAGGAACCTCGTCCAATCCTGGTCTAGTACTAGTGCGTATAACAAGCTGCGGAAATTCCAGCAAACCTGTCTATAGCACAGGCTGATGTGTGCAGGACTGGCGATGGCGAGCTTGGTACCTCAGTAAAAACACTTGTTTCTTCAGGTGGGTACAGCCATGCTGACAAGCTGTCAGTGACAGTGCTTCCTCTCTGTGCCTCTTCATGAGGAGGCTCATCAGCCAGAGCACTGCTGATGAGCGCCTACCTACCATAAATTGTGACTTTAGTAGGTGACAGATTACATTGGCGTTCTGGTCTGTAGCTTTGGATTTCCATCCATGTGACTGGTCACATGTAAATTTCTCTCCCAAAAAGTTGTAATTTTGGCCCTTACTTTCTCTGTCACCGCCCATGCAGTGAAAGTTGAGAGCTAGAAATAGAATCATAGTGTCAGGAGTTGATGCTCATTTTTTGAGACAGGGTCTTGCTGAGTTACGCACACTTGACTCTGACTTCACAAGCTCTCCTGTCAGGTGGCTGAGACTGCAGGTGTGTGTGCTTTGCCCAGATCATGGTGGTGATGTCAACCTGACGGTGTGTACTGCATCTGTCTGTTGTCAGGTGCACGCCATCCCCCTGCGTTCCTCCTGGGTCATGACTTGTGCTTATGCCCCCTCTGGAAACTACGTAGCCTGTGGTGGCCTGGACAACATTTGCTCTATCTACAACCTGAAGACTCGAGAAGGGAACGTGCGCGTGAGCCGTGAGCTGGCAGGACACACAGGTACACATTCCGGTTCGGGGGCCACGGACGCTGCTGCCTCCTGGGGTTGTGTGTGCTCTTGCAACTCACTATCGTGAGTTGTATCAGTCATCCCTCATTATCTCAGTTTAGTATGGTGACAGTTTCGGTGGGGTGTGGTGGTACATACCTGTAAGCCCAGCATTCTGGGAGGCTGTGTCAGGAGAATCGCAGGGAAATCCAGCTGGAACACTCAGTGAGGCTGTCTCAAGCATAGAGCTGGGTGGCCCTGCAGCCCTCCATGCAGTCCCCAGTACTGAGAAAAGAAAAGATGGGCTGCTTGTTTTGCTCATCTCTGTTCTACACTACTTCCTTTCTGCCCCTCCTCAGTTGACTCCCTGGTTTCTCCTTTAAATGCTGTTGTGTTTGGAGAACAGTTCTGCTCAGTGTGAGCTGGGTGTGTTGGGACAGCTGTGCTGTGTGGTCTGTGGTTGTCTATATGTACTTATGTTTATGAGAGCAAGATGTTTTGTGTGTTTTGAAGAAATGAGGCTTAGAAATTTGAATAAGTTCCAAAAAATGTGAGTAGTCTTGTATGCTCACACCTGTACTTGGCTCGTGGCACTCCTGCCCTCCTGCAGATATGCTCTTCAGCGTCCTGTGCGGAGCCCCAGCCTCAGATGAGCAGGAGGTCAGAAACAGCACACTGTACATTTTCCTGTGGTAAATTCCTAAGTTAGGCATAGGAAGGAGTTCACAAAAGTAACTAATAAATGCTCACAGCGACCCGTGATAATAAAAATGTTTTTCAGACCTGTGAGTTGGTTTTTCTGTACATGTAGTAGTTTCAGGCTGGGTTGACCTTGGGGGTCTGTTCTGTTTTGTTTTGTCTTGGTACTGTGAGTTGAACTCAGGACCTTGAGCTTTCTAGGCAAGCACTGTACCACTGAACTCTATGCCCGGGCCCAAGCGAGCGAGACTGCGGTGGTGTAGTAGGTGTGCTGCTGCTGGTGGGGCTCCCCACATTCATCCATCTGAATGTCTCTTGTTTTCCTTTTGTTTGCAGTGCCAAGGCTCTGACGCAGGGCCTTGTACATGCCAGGCAACCTCACTACGCCCAGCTCTGATTTTGTCTGTATTTTATTTTTTTGAGGCACAGTCTCATTATGTAGTTCAGGCTGCACTTGAACTTGGAGCAGTCCACGTGCCTCACCTCCCTTAGTGCAGAGATTATAGCCGTGCACCACCATACCTAGTTTATCTTTATTGTCGAACAATGTTTTTTCTCGATACATAGAATTCCAGGGTGGCTTTTTAAACCCCCTCCCTTAAGCAATTTAAAGATGTACTTTTGGCTTTATCAATTTGTCTGTGATGTGCCTAGATAAGATATTTTCCTTGCATTCATTATGCATGTAAACTTTGTGGGTTTTGAGGGGGTTCTTTCTGAGACAGGATTTTTTTATATAGTTCAGGCTGGCCTTGAACTCACTTTGTACCCCAGGCTGACCTTGAACTTGTAGTGATCCTCCTGCCTCAGCCTCCTGGATGCTGAAATTACAGGTAGTGCGCCACCACACCCGACCAATTTTGTGTTTTATTAAACTTGTAGGAGTTGAGCAGTGTCTTCAGGTGCCTCTTTGGCTGCTGTTCTTTCCACTTTAGCCGATGGGTTTTCCCATGCGCTGGTCTCTACTTTCTGGCCTTCCCAGCCATCTCCACCTACTCTGGTTTGTTTATTTCTCTTTCTACTCAAGTTCTGTGGACTTCACACATCTCTGGCATGCAGCTAGGGTACCCAGCAGACTTTTCCTGTCAGGTGGTTTGAGGGAGGCACGTCCCCTATAATAGCATAAAATCCAGCCAAAACTTAGATTTGTGAACCTTCGATGGTTTGTATTGTTTTCCAGTTTTAGAGTTTGTCTTTGCTTCTATTTTAAAATGGTTTTCATATTTTTATTAGGATTTCCTTTTTACTTAAAACAAGTGTATTGCGTTAGTGTTTTGAGCAGTTACAATAATTGCCTTTAAAATCCTTGTCTACTGACAGGTGTAGTGGCACATATCTGTAATCTTAACTGTTGGGGAGGCTGAAGCGGGAGGAGTCTTAAGGTTGAGGCCAACTTCACAAGATCACATCTCGAGATTTAAAAGGGGTGGGGGCTGGGCAGTGTAGTGGTAGTCTCCCTGGGTTTTGTCCCCAGTATGGCTCAAAGAAATTCTTTTCTGCTAATGGTAGCATCTAGTCTTCCTGCTTGTGGTCTCTGGGACTTTTCTTAAATTGGGTGACATTTTGCTGTTTTATGTGTGTTTAGCCATTTTTAATTCCAGCCCAGACATAAATGTCATAGACACTCCAGACGCTGTTGTGTTCCTGTGAGATACCCATGTTTAGTTTGTCTTATCAGGCAGAGAAACTGTCTTTCCTTTGTCAGCAGCAGTGGAAATCTCCTGTTCTCTTGGCATGGGCTGCAGTCTGTGTCCTGCATGTGGCATCAGAGTCAGGCATGTGGGCAGCTGTGTGCATGACTCTGGGCCCTCTGGCATCTGCTCCAGCCCCTCTCACCTTGAGCCCCAGGTGATTGTCAGGAGTGGGCTCTGGGGTCACTGCTGCCCTTGGTGTCGTGGAGCACAGGTGCATGTAGACCAGCCAGCCCTCCCCACTGCAGAGTCTGAATCCCAGGCTGTGGACCCAGGACCGACCTCAGAGCCAGCACAGTGGGCAGTTATAAAGTGAGGGTGCCCTGTGGCAGGACTAACTAAGGAGTTAAGTGACTGGGGCAGAGTATTTACTACAGTTATTAATTGCCTAAAATCTGATTTTTGACTAACCCACATGGCCCAGACATGCAGACTGCTCTCGGTGATGAGCCTCAGTAGCTAGTGGAAGTAGTCGATCCCTGTCCTTGAAGACTACTGTCTCTGAGACCCCATGTGAATGTGGGCCCCAGAGTACTGAGAGCCCAGTGCTCTCTCTGAGGCCTGATGACAGCATTTTTCGGTGCTGGAACCCAGTGTGGCAGCTAGAGCTTTGTTTCTCGGGCACAGGTTTCTTCCTCCAGTGAGAAGTTGGGCATTCTTCATATTCAAGGGTGCAGAATGGATTTCGTTGGGGCAGGAACCAGCAAACTTGGATAAAGAGGAGAAGAGACTGTCTCCTCGTCAGATCTGTCCAGAAGTCACGCCAGGCCCTTGGTTATTTTTGTTGCCTTTGTCTAGGCAGCCCAACCCCCACCCCCGCTGACTGGAGGCAGGCCCAGCGCTTTTCCTCAGCTGCCCCCAGCCCGCCCAACGCCTGGAGAATGTGTCCGCTTTTCAGGGCTGGCCACCCGGCCTGGCACAGCCTGCTGTTGCCTAGAACATGTCCTACGCCCACCTGCCAGCGCTTAATCCTGGTAGACCCTGGGCCACCTGGCGGCATGGCAGCACCAGGCAGCCAAGGCTGCAGCTTGTGACTGCTGTGTGGCCACAGCACTCGTGGCTGAAACTTGATTTCCTGGAAAGTCTGCTCACATTCTCCTCCGGCCTGTCTGTTGTGCAACCTTTTATGATCTGCTCCTTCTTTCAGCATGGAGTCTCCTTCCTCTCTGGCTCTTTCCTGCTTCAGGTCTTTGGGTTGCCCCTTCCCCCTATGCCTACTCTTTTCCTTTTGACTCACTGAAGTAAGTGCCTGCACCCCTCGTGGCACTGAGGGCCTTTCCTACAGTTCTAGGCTAACGTTCTCCCCCTTTCTGGGACAGAAACTGCTGCAGATTCTGTTGTTATTCCTGGGGCCCCTGGGGCCGTCCTGGTTCCAGGCATCCTGAACCCTTTTTCAGGCGGAGTTTCATCCTTGACCTGCCCTTTCTCAGGCGGAGTTTCATCCTTAACCTGCGTTCCCTGATGCAGGGTGGAAGCTAAACACTGTCAGTTTGTATCATTATGGAAGTTCAGGGAAGACCATTTTGCCTTTTTGAGACAAGGTCTCACTATGCAGTTCAGGCTGGCCTTGAACTCACTATGTAACCCATGCTGGCCTCAAACTCACAGCGATCTTCCTGCCTCAGCCTCCCAAGTGCTGGGACCAGGTGTGCACTACCATGCCAGGCTTGGAGAAGAAATTGCAGTTCTCTTGTGTTTTCTCCTTAAAATCTTATCCAGCGCCAGGTGTGGTGGCACACACCTGTAATCCCAGCACTTGGGACGCTGAGTCAGGAGGATCATTGTGAGTTCAAGACCAGCCTGGGCTACAAAATGAGCTCAAGGCCAGCTTGAACTGCATAGTGAGACCCTGTCTCAAAAAGAGAAAAAAAAAGATCCCATCCAAAACTGCAGTATTATTAGCTTTTCGTTAGCTTGTTTGTTTAACCTCTTGCTATGTAGTCCATGCTGGCCTTGACCTTGCCGTATAGCCCATGCTGGCCTCTAACTCAGGATACCCCTGCCTCAGCTTCCTGTATGTGAAGATCATAGGTGCTCACTACAATGCTGTCTTAAAGTTGTAGATAATTGTGCCGTCTGTGCCCTAATCCGTTTTTGTTGTTGGACATTCGGGCTGTTTTCAGTTTGTGGCTCCTTGCCCTAGAGGCTGCAGTCTGGAGCCCATCCACAGGTGACTGGTTTCTCTGCCCTCGCCACAGCATGGGGAGCAGTCCTCTCAGGCACTGGCACTTGGCCGCACCAAGTGCTCTCAGGATTAGCAGCCACTGGCCCCTGAGGCACCTGTCTCAGCACCGCCTGCCACACTACAGGGAGCCCTTGGTCCTGCACCCATGGCTTCCAGGGAACTCAGAATGGCCCTGGCAGGCCGCGGATGTAGCTCAGTGGTGCAGCACCTGCCTGGCAAGCACAGGGTCCTGAGCCCGATTCCTGGCATCAAAAAAAAAAAAAAAAAAGCATAAACAAATCAATATTCTATAAACCAGGCGTGATGGCACACGCCTGTAATCCCAGCACTTTGGAGGCTAAGGCAAGAGGATCATTGCAAGTTCAAGACCAGCCTGGGCTATAAAGGGAGCCCAAGGCCAGCCTGAATTGCATAGCGAGACCCTGGCTCTGGATGCTTGGGGGTGAGGCCAGGATTAGGCCAGGATGGAGTCCAGCCTTCCATATGTGTGTATGTACACACACACATATACACACGCACACAATCTCCTGCTTCATGACTCCTCTCAGCAAGAGCATCTTTTGTGCAGAGCCAGCCCTGCGCCTCCCAGCAATCAGGGAGACTCACGGCCACTGGGAGCCACTGTGCAGGGGAGGGTTGGCTCGTCTAAAATACACAGTGCCTGTGTGGCCTGCACCCCACCTCATGCACCCTGCACAGGAAAGCCCAAAAGATCAAAGGCTGAGCCGTACAGTGATGAGCTTAGCTGTATCCTGGCTTAGTTGCAAGTGACTCCTCTGTCTGCTTGAAGCGCTATCTCTGACTGCATGCAGTCACTGTAGGGATGCTGGGTAGCCTCCAGCGAGGCCCTACTCATCCCTGCATAGGTACAGTCTCTGTTGCTGTTGGCATCAGCCGTGTTGGGCCTACCCGCTCTCTCTCATGCCTTGATGGTTCTTCCTGATCTGCTGGAGCTGTGGTGCCTTGGCCTGGAGTCAGAACCTGAGGGTTGTGCCCACCGTCCTGTCCCTGACTCTCAGGGAAGAGCTGATGCGTAGTTCAGCTACAGCAATTTATTTATTGTTTATTCATTTGTTTATTTTTGAGACAGGGTCTTACTAAATTGTCAGGGCCGGCCTTAAACTGGAGATCCTCTGTGTCAGCCTCCCAAGGAGCTAAGATTGCCTAGGTCTGCAGCCCTGGGCCTGGCCTGTTGCGGCGCAAGCTGTTCAGTGACCTGTACTTTGTGCGCTTTGTTTTGTTTTCACCTACTCACTCAGTGTCCTGCAGCCTGATGGGCTTGAAAGGGGAGTGTTTCAGTGAACACCAGGCTAACCGGGAATCTTCTCAGAATTGCCAGGGTTGCCCTGATCCTCTTGAGGGCAGGTTGGGGCCAGCCTTGCAACAGCCCCAGGCAGTGCGAGGTTTGATGACCCTGATCTCTGTTCTCTGTAAATTCCAGAGTGGGATGAGTACGCTGACTCTGGTCACTTAAACTTGAACACAAGGGCAAAAGCAATGGAAAACAGCTTTATTAATGCAAATTCAAAATGCACAGACACACAAAATTGATGTTTTGCTTTTGTTAAGCTGTTGAGGATGGACCGTCTCTCTGCCCCCCTGTGCACTGCCTGCCAGCCCACCTTGCCTCGTCTCCTTCCCAGAGTGTGGACAGGAGCACCCCAGGGTCCCTGGTATCACTGCCATGCTGCTGTTCCACCGTCTTTTCCTGTCCCCTCTGTTAGTCTTTCGGTAGCCTGCAAGCCCTTTCTGCCCTGACGCCTTGACTTGAGGCCTTCTCCTACCTATGGCTGGGTCATTTGCTCAGAACACCTTTGGGGCCCTGTGTACCCGCTCTCCATCCCTGCTGCCATCCTCCCCTCCTCAGTCTTGCCCTGCTGCTCCTTAAGTTCCTGTCATTCTCTTCCTACTGGAGCATGAGCACCAGCACAGCAAGGCTGTGTTCCCACCCTGGATCTTCTCTTGTTAGGGAACACATGAGGCCCTGAGGGGCAGGAACCTCTGCCTTCAGGGGAAGGCTTGAGGTATTTCGTGGGTGCTGTGCTGTTGGCACACTGGGTGCATTCGGGCTTTAGTGTGCACAAGCAGAGCAGAGGGTTATGGTCAGAGCCCATCCCAACCTGCACACGGACTCCCCTGCCACACTCACCCCACTCCGTGCTGTTCATATTCACAGAGGCAGGGTGGGCTTGGGGCTCGTCGGTTCAGTGCTCATTTTGTCTGTTTCCTGCCAGGCTACCTGTCCTGCTGCCGGTTCCTGGATGACAATCAGATCGTCACCAGCTCTGGAGACACCACATGGTAAATGAGACCAGCCTTTGTTCACACCTTGTGGGGTGCTGCACATGGAAGCGTGGTTCTAGGAATCAGGTCGTCTTTCTTCTTTTCTCTTGTCTCTCTCTCTCACGCTCTTTTTTTTTTTTTTAATGAAACAGGGTCTTGTTGTGTACTTCAGGCTGACCTTGAACTCACTGTGTAGCCCAGGGTGGCCTCAATCTCATGGCAATCCTCCTGCCTCAGCCTCCTGAGAGCTAGGATTACAGGCGGGTACCACCACTCCTGGCAGTTAGACCATTTTTAATTTCGAATGGCCTTGAGATCTAAAATACCAAGTAATTTTGTGGGAATTTCTTATACTGTTTGCAAATTTACGAAGTTTAGTTTTGAACTGGGCTGAGAATTACTGATATTTATATTATAATCGTGCACAAAGTGCCTCCCTTTTTTGTTTTCACTCGGTGTATTTCACCTGGCTAAGTGATGGGGGACTGTCTGGCAGCCTTCTGTGGCCCCATCTTACAGTGACTGTGAGCACAGTGTAAACAGGTGTCGCAATAAGGTGAGCCATGCCAGACCTGATCGTGGCATTTTTACCTCACCGGTTGGTGGAAGCCCATTTATACTCCATGATCTTTTCTTTTCCTTTCTTTCTTACTTTTTTCCCTAGAATGTTTTCAAGTGCACAGAACTAAAGTGACGAGTAGATTTGAATAGTGTTGCCCAGTCTTCATAGGCTTGCCTGGGTGACCAGGATCTTGTAGCTGAAGGGCTGTGCACGGAGATGACATGGTGCCCATTATGAGCTGTGGGACTCCCTGAGACTTGAGCCATCACGTGTCAGAGCGTGCAGCTACCTCCTGCACTTCCCGCTCCCTTGTGACTGTCCATCAGGCCGTCTCGAGACTCCATGTGCAGTGTGCTGATACTATCTGCTTGGGTGGATGTTTTCTGGGGTACTGCTCTCTGTGGGGCAGAGCAGAGAAGCGGCGCTGTTTGTGGCCTTCGCAGCCAGCTGCTGCTCTTCACAGATGCTGTTGATGCCTTGCCTTTCGGCACCATCAGTCAGGAACACGTGGATGCCATGTGCAGCTGTTCAGACCACCTCTGTGCTGTGGTGCGTGACTCCAAGAACGGGCAACAGGGCCTGAGAGATGTTTACCTGGTGTGGTCCCCTTGATGCCCAGAGACCACACTGGTGTAGCAGGGTCCTGTCCTCCTTTGAGGCCTTCACCAGGGCTTCTGCTGCCTGCCTTGAGGCCCTCTCCACCTCCGCCAGCCGGGGTATGCCTAAAGTTTCTCTGCACAGGAGGAGTGAGGCCCCATTTGCTGGTGTGGGCCTGCAGACACCACTGCCACAGAGGCCTAGCCCAAACTCTCATCTGAACAGTTGTATATATTCTCTTTGCTTTGGTTCTTCTCTAAATAGGGTTATATTACAAAATGTGACCTTGCCTTACATACAAGCGTGGAGCTCTTCTGCAGTCCTAGATGGCTCAAAGGCTGGTGTTTGGTCTGTGAGGCTAACATCTGCTTATTCATTTGCCTTGCTCCAGTGCACTGTGGGACATTGAGACTGGCCAGCAGACAACCACGTTCACTGGACACACTGGGGACGTCATGAGCCTGTCTCTGGCTCCCGACACCAGACTTTTTGTCTCTGGTGCTTGTGACGCCTCAGCCAAGCTCTGGGATGTCCGAGAAGGCATGTGCCGGCAGACCTTCACTGGCCATGAGTCAGACATCAACGCCATCTGCGTGAGTTTGAACCATTTTCTGAGTTCTTCTGCCCTTTCAAATACAGCCAGAGTCACCGATGGGTCCACAGAGTGTCCCATGGGAGACCTGGTTGGGACCTGATCTGACCTGGATGAGGCCAGGTGTTTCTGTGCTGGTAGTATCTCATGGGCTGAGGTGGCTGCTGGGTGCCAGGCCTGTTCTGCCCTGAAATGGCCAGTGGTTGGTATCCTGCACCCACAGCAAGTCATCTCCTGCTCAGGAGCAGCATGGAGCTGGGGAGCCTGCTGTCTTCTCTGGCTCCCTCTGCACAGGTGTCTAGGCTGTTGGGCTGTGTGTGGTGGCTAGCAGAGGTTCTTGCTCCTTCCTCCAGGAATCAGCCCAAGGAGCACTAGCCCTCTGGTTGGTCCACCAAACTAAAACTGCCCCAGGGGTTAATTTAAAACCCAGTGCTCCTGCCTGTGCCAGAGCCTAGCCCTGCCTCTCTTCTGGCTTTGTCCCAGCAGCCAAATTTCCATGATTTCTGGCTTAGCATTTGCATCCTGTCTAGATTCACATGTGGTCTTGTTCACCCTCTTTTCAGTTCTTCCCAAATGGCAACGCATTTGCCACCGGCTCGGATGACGCTACCTGCAGGCTGTTCGACCTCCGTGCAGACCAGGAGCTCATGACCTACTCCCACGACAACATCATATGCGGGATCACCTCTGTCTCCTTCTCCAAGAGCGGGCGCCTTCTCCTCGCTGGATATGATGACTTCAACTGCAACGTGTGGGATGCCCTCAAAGCTGACAGGGCAGGTCAGTAGCCGACAGGATGTTCATGTGCTAAATGACAGAAGTTTGTGTCAACACAGCTGACACAGCAGAGGAGGGGATGAGCTTGGACACAGACTGTGGCCCTCCAGGGGACTGATGCTAGAGAGCAAGCAAAGCCCTTCCCTGTGAGGCTTGCAGGGATCTTTGGGCTCGATTTGGTAGATCCCAGCTTATGCTCCCTGGGCTTGCCAGGGCCACAGTTGTGCTGTCCAGAGGGCCCTGGTGGAGCAGCAGGCCTATTGGGTGGTGAGGGTCTGAATTCTGCTGATCAGAGGCAGTTGTGTTACTGCTGCATATCAACATGCTGGATAGGACGGGACCTTTCTTATGGTGCACTTGAATTTGAAGGATGTTGACACTTCACAAGCCTTCAGCAAACCTCAGTGTTTGCCAGGCTGAAAGAGAGGACCATTACTGGAGGTCCTGTGGGCCTTGCACTGCCCAGTCCTCTACCAGGGGCTATATCATTGAGGGCAGTGGCAGCCGACCCCAGCCTCCTCAGAGAGCCCTCCTACCCCTGTGCTGGGCAAAACAGGGGCACTGGAAGTTTCAGGTTTCAGTACCTTCTGCTCCATCTGGAGGAAGTGGAGAGGCCTGCGGCACTGGTGTCACTGTGTGACAGCCCGTGTGGTCTCAGCAGCCACCACAGCCCCGTGTGCTGGGTTTTACTGGGCTCTGGGTATCACAAACAAGTGAGAGATGGCCTCACCCACATACTCATGTGCTCAGCTGCTTGGAGATGGAGTCTTTTGACCATGGATTTTACTCCATTGTTTATTTAAGTTGATAAAATGTGTAGATGTCAGCGTGAGCAGGTCCAGGTTAGTGGATGTGTGGATGTGTATTTCTTGTCATCCTCTTGATGTGTCTGTACTTCTGCAGGGGCATCCACGTTGTCTTTAGAGATGTTGGCCCCGCTAATGAGACTGGCCGTGTGCGTCAGTGTAATTTCCACTTGCATAAAACTTTTCTCCCTTCACTGGCCTTGCCTTGCTTCTGAGGTATCACTGGGACTTGACCTGAGGGAGTCTGGATCCTATTTCATCAGATTAGCCAGCCAGCCATCATCACAACGTCACACGCAGGAGGTGCCTCTGGGCTTCTGAGTGACTGCTGTCTTTGCTCCCAGGTGTCTTGGCCGGACATGACAACCGCGTCAGCTGCCTGGGGGTGACTGATGATGGTATGGCTGTGGCGACAGGGTCCTGGGACAGCTTCCTCAAGATCTGGAACTAACGTCAGTAGGTAACAGAGCCACCTGATGCCCTCCCCTCAGAGCTGTGTGTCTTTCCTGTGCATGGTCTCTAAGTTAACATAGATGTGGCACTGATTTGGAATGTGGTTGGTACGAGTGGTGGCCCCTTGGCTGTGCATGCTGAGGGGCAGCGAGAGGGTGGTGATGCTGACTGGGCTGAGCTCAGGTTTCCCGTGTCTCTGAGTGCATTGACCCACACTCTGTTCACAGCAGCAGGTGGACGCCACCGTGACTGGAAGACCATTCCAACCTTGAAGCGCTACAGTGATAGCATATCTTATCCACCCATACTAACGTGGACACCCACACTCCCCTCAGAACTTCAAAGGGCAAGATCTTTTCTCCTTCACTTATTGCTGAAACCAAGAGCACAATTCCCATTAAGAGAAGGATCTCTGTGCTGTAAACTAAAACAAATTGTGCATTCCTTCCGGGGCCATTGTCTTTGTTTTCTTTTTTGTCTTGGATGAATTTTAAAAGGAAATACTACAATAAAAATGTTAACCAGAAGGTAAACCTGAGTGTAATTGTGAGACAGACACGCCTCTCCACTAGCTCATTGAAGAGTAGACCAGTAACCCTGTATTGTGGCATTCATGCAAAACAAGTTGAAGACTTTATCTTGTAATCATTTCTAAATTTCAAATTGTGTTTGTAGCAGGATTTTGGAAGCATTCACAGTTTCTTTTTTAAATATATTCCTTTCTGTCCAACAGTGGAACAGAACCATTGCCGGGGGCAGGTCTCTGACGAGGGGGACACAGTCCAGTCCCTGGCAGTTTGCTCTTGTATTGTGTCACAGATGTCTGTTGCACACAAACACAGCCTAGTTAAAGAGAAAGGCCGAGAAGCAGAGTAGCTGAGCACATGCTGTGATGGTTGTGAATGTGGTCAGAGTCCTTCCCCTGTGCCGAGCAGCGAACTCAGGCCTGGCCCCTTCCCTCTGCGCCCTCCCGTCCCCTTGTCTGCTGTTTCCTCTCACCTCGGGTTCCTGTGAAGTTGGAGGGAGTCTAATCGCCCAGCACTACCCGCCCTGCTCTCGCTGTCAGGAGCCTGCTCGAGAGATGCCTGTCCTGTGCTTGGATAGTCAGTTGGTTATTTGTGTATGAAACAATGTACAAATCAATGTTTTGAAAATAATGATCTCAGACTTTCTAAGTTAAATTTTAAAAATTTGATTGTTTGCCATATTGGGTGGGTTTACTCTTAGAATCGCATGCTGTAGAAATGCTCAAAAGTGCATATAGGACTCAGTCCTTAGATGTTCTTTTTCTTTTAAGAAATAACCTCTTAAAGTTGTAACTGTGGCGGCTCTGTCCACTTCTGTTGCTGCTCTGCACACATTGGAAGCAGCGAGCGCTCTACATGCTTGAGTAGCGGGATGAGTCACTGTTTTCTTTACTTCTTTAAAAAAAAAAAAAGTCCTGTTGTGAAAGATCCCTGTTGGATTCTGAGGGAGAGGCTGAGGGAGGAGGGAAGGAGCGCCTGACCTGCGGCCCTGCCCTTTCTTGGTAGCCCAGCCGGGACAGCCTTCTGCACCCATGCAGACCTGTGACCCCGCCCGCCAGCGCAGGGTCTCCCCGGTCAGCAGCAGCGTCTGGACAGCAGTGTCCTGTGGGCCCTCCCTCCTCCCAGTCCCCAGCCCCCTCCTAGCAGCAGTAGTGGCTTCGCCATCCTGTTTCCTGCAACATCCTGTACAAACTGTGCTGTGACCGTGCAGTAGGCCTGGACCTGGCAACGAGAATACGACGACGTCCCTTCTCTTCCCGTCAGATGACTCTGTAGAGCTCTCTGCACCTTCACCCTTTTCACCTTTTGTATTTAATTTTAAAGTCAGTGTACTGCAAGGAGGCTGGATGCAAGATAGACCCTATATTAAACTGTACTGTTATTTAAGATGTAATAAAGCAGTTTGACATGAGGGACTCTGAGGTGGTGGTTACTTGAGAGGTCCATTTCAATGTATAGAGGTGACTGCTTCTCCCTCCTGCTCCTGTGACCCCTGGCTCAGGTGGGCCCAGCATCAGGAGGACCGGGCAAAGCCGGCTTTGAAGAATGGCAGGCATCCCGGTGGTCCCACCTGCCATCATGGGCCCTGGCCTGGCCCCTCCTGTCCTCTGACACTGCTGCCCTCCCGATGGTCTCTGGGGACGAGGCCCTCCTGACACGCCTGCCCTCGGTCTGAATAAGAGAGCTGTGCCCAGAAAGAGGAAAGAAGCCCCGTCAGGGAAGTGTGGAAGGCAGGCCCCAAGCCGCAGGCCGCCCTCCAGCATCCTAGCCCCTCAAATGCTTCCTAGGCTGAGTGACACAGTTTTTAAAAACCTTCAGTAATCTGTGAGATTATAAAAGGAAACTAGTCTTCACAGCCAGATCGTGGTACTTTTCTTAAAGAGATCCGTGAATAATGACGCCCTCCTAGCACAGCATGGGCAACCGGGAAGATGGGCTCCCCAGGGGCTGCAGCGGGGGGAGTGGCTGGCAGGTGCCCTCCCCCAGGAGCCCTTTCTCAGCCCTCCTCCTGCTGGCCCAGGAACCCCTAGTCCCTGTGGAGGAGGCGGCACCTGAAGCCCCTCCCCATCTGCAGGGAGGAGGAGTGGCAGGGTGAACACACCACTCACCGAACACTTTGTTCTGCTCCTAGACTAGAAGACGCAGAACCTGAGGGCCTTTCAGGGCCACTGCCAGTCTCTTAGCAAATCTGCCCCTGAAAGCTGGTGTTCACTCTGGGCAGGTGGACAGCGGCACTGGCCAGCACAGCGTGTGTGGAAGAGACAGGAACGTTCCTCTCTGGGCCCAGGCACACAGCACAAGCCTGCATGGAGGGCCTTAACCTTTAATAGGGCAAGAGCAGCACCCTTTACTGCCTGCTGCCTTGGGGGCGCCCCCAGGGCAGGAGCCTTGCCACAGGTGTACTCTGCCACTGAGGGCCCTGTGTCACTCTGTCCCCGATGGCCACCTCTTTCCCGTGCCCGGGAAGCCCATGGCCTTTCTCATCTGTTCTCCACACAGCCTCTTCCTCATAGGGACCCTACGTAACAGAGGTGCTTCCTGAGGCCTGTGCTGGGCACAGGTCTGGACCAGGACCACTGTCACCACACCCGGGTGCCCTTGACTGCTGGGGCAGGGCGACAGGCCCGATGGCTGTTCTGGTCCAGCCCTCCACTCACCCACTGTTCCCATTCCCACTGCCCTCTACTGCTGACCCCCGCCCTGGCCTTCCCGGTCACCCCAGTCGACTCAGCCTCCGCCCAGCTCTGCCTTTTCCCAGGGTGACAGTGGGCACGTGGCTCGCCTCCCTGTCCTCAGGTCCCCCCCAGCCCTGCTTCAGGTATCTGAGAACACAGCACCAGAGAATGCAGCTGTTACTGCCAGCCCCAGGACTCTGCACTCTGCACCTGTGGTTCCCGCCACCTGTGGGCACCTGTTCCTGAGCACCCCTGAACAAAACTGATCCCCTCCCCAGTCCCACCTGCCTCTGCCTGCCCCACCAAAAGGCAAGCACTGGCAGGCCTATGTCCTCCCCACTGGGTCGTGTGTGCCTGGTATTCAAGAAGGGGCACCTCTGAATGCCAGCAGGATACAGGTGGGCACAGGTAATGCTGGGTAGGTCTGCTTTGTGCTCCCACACCAGGTAGCCAGCTGGAGGCCAGAGGCTAGCCAAGGAATGCACACCTGGCCCCCTCCCTGTGTGCGTGCGGGGAGCCTGCACTCCCCTGTTCACGCGGCCAGGCTAGGCCAGCAGAAGCCAGTTTCCCGTGGGATCTGAATTGGGCCCCAAGGGGGTGCAGTCTGCATCAGCACCCTGCGCCCCTGCTCCAGCCAGGGGCGTGCGCCACACTGCCCAGTTCTGCAGAGCCCCATCGCTCTCCTCCGACAGCGACTCCCCACTTCCTCTGTAGCTCCTTATCCCGGCCAGCTCCCATCATTCAACCCTCAGAAAAGGGGGCCCAGGTTTTGAGAGACGGGTGTAAACAGGGAGGCCTCCTTTTGCGGGCCGGGCAATACTGAGGGTTAAATCCATCTCTCCCACGTGCTAAGATAGTGCTCCACCACTGAGCTCCACCCCCACCCTTATAAAACGATCTCATTAAACTGCCGTAGCTGGCTTGACGTCTCAGATCCTCCTGCCACAGCTTCCTAAGTAGCTGGGATTTTGGCTTTGCCTCACAGCACCCAGCCATGGGAGACCATTCTTAACAAACCCAAATAACAAAATGGTAAATTACGCTGGAGCTGAGTCCTGAGCTCCAGGGCCGAGGAAGGTGAGGGCTGGCAGCCTCACCCCTGTGGCCACGCCCTCTTTCCCTGAACCCTGCCTTGGGTCTCCTTCCCCACCTTCGCCCTGGGCGGTCTTTGCCTAGCCTTCCTGCTGTCCTTCTGAACTCTGCCTTGTGAAATGCCCCTGGCAACCCCGCGGGGGCGGGGTGGGGGGGCGCCTTGGGTGTTGTCAGTGACCCTGCCCTGGGCGTGCACAGCTTGGCCTGAGTCTTGGGGTCTCGTGGGACCTTGGAGCTGTTGCACAAGGAAGTGAGCTACTGGGCCACAGCCCTGTTTCCTTGGCTGAAATGGGGAAACTCAGCCGCCTGTGCAGCTGCAGGGCCAGGCACACAAACTCGCCCTGCTGGGCTGGGCCCTGAAAGCCCCCACCTGGGGGGGCCCACCTGGTAAGGGCTGTGTGACTTCAGGCGATAACAAGATGTCGCGGGGGCCACCACTTTCCCTGAAGGCCCAGGCCAATTATTTGCGCTAATAATTACATCCAAACGTCAGCTCAAGCCTTCTGGGAGTGGCTGGTGGTCACTCTGTGGTACTGGGGACTGAACCCGAGGGCTTCCCACCGAACTACGCCTCCTGCCCCTTTAAAAAAATATTTTTTACATTTTGAGACTTGCTCAGGCTGGAATCCCAACTTTAACAGATTTTTTTTTTTTTCTTTCTTTTTTTTTTTTTTTTCTTGTGGCACTGGGGATCAAACTCAGGACCTATACTTGCCAAGCAGGCGCTTATGCCATTGAGCCCCCGGAACCCCAACTTTTGATTGTCCTGCCTCAGCCTCCCAGAGTGGTGGCATGACAGGCCTGTGTCCCACCCCAGATTTACTTCCCTTTTGGGAAGCAGCTGTTTACAAAACAACCCATGGGGAAGTTACAGATCTGAAGCAAGACCCTGTCATCCTTATCCCTTCTCCAGTTCCCCGTGGGGCCCCACTGCGTAGGGGTCCAGGGACTGTGCTGCTCCTTCCAGGAAGAGGGCGGGTCCGGCAGGTAGGAGCTGCGGGAGGCCGGGCGGACTCCATCCCGGGCACGCAGGGCGCCCGTCGGGGGACGCCGCCTGGAGAAGGGGACATCTGGGGACGAAGGCTTTTTCCCCAGGATCAGCGGGTCGCACGGCCCGCGGGGGCGCACACGGGGACCGGGAGCCGAGGACGGGCCCGCACGCGAGGGGCGCCTCGCGGTGTCGCGGCGGGGG